CCGAACAGAATATGGGTTTTACGTGCTCTTGGTTGTGTTTGGCCCTTTTTTTACATCAAGGCAACTGTCCGCCAGTGCTACATGTACTCACCTTGTTTTTTATCCAGTTCTCTCACGCTTTGGGGTCTTGCGGGAATCTGAAGAAATTGCAAGGACCTCTCTTCACGCGATGGTTACAACCAGGTATGAAGCACTCTCACATAGGACGAGTCCGCAAAAAAAAATTTGGGATCTCAACCGATCGCCTGAAGTGCTTTTCTCACAGGTGCAATGCAACCTTTTAGCAGACAATCACCTCGATCGACGACTGGACTTTCAATGAACCATATTTTGCATTGCACCCCACTATGAATTCTTATAAGTGTCTGAAGGTCATTATATTTCAAACAAATACAACTTCAGAATATAGTCTTTATTCACACGATTCCAACGATGGTGCCAGCTTGTGGCAGACGGCATACTTCTTGTGTTCGTAGTCCGCTGCAGGCATCTTGAGGACTGGAAGTTGCAGTTGTAAATATTCCAGAAACAAGCAATTATTGGCACACTTCTGTCTAAACATATAAGACATTCAAGCTTTCTGTATCTGTGAATTTTAGAAGTTTAAATCCTACTCCTGATTTTTGAACAGTCTGGTTTCCGTAGCAAAACCTAGCCACATGTATTTGTCCGCAACATCGACCCTAGCAATGGTTTATTTGGACTCATGACGTCACAGTTACGGAGTCAATTGCTGGCATCCATAACCAATTGGCCCATTATTTATTACTTGTTCTACAAACCCAATTTTTTAATTGTACTTTATTCGCTCAATATTTATCGTAAACATACCCAAATCAAGTGAAAATAAAACATGACTCATTAATTATTAAGATTGCTGATATGTGTTTGCAGTGAACAATTTTATGAACCTCTTACAAATATAGGGTAGTCCAAGTCGCCAGGCTCGATCTAAAATGGACTGTAAAAATCGACGCCTGCACGTAGCAATCTAAACTTTTCGTCAAAGGTGTATTCCACAGGTCAGTTTTTTCTTGGATAATTACAAAGCATAGCCAAGAAATTTGCTAGGGTCTACGGCAGGCAGTGGCGCAGACGACAGGGGTCCAGTAGGGAGTGTTTGGTGTTCGTGTTGACAGATGGCGCTACCTCCTCATAGCGAAGGCTCGCGACCACCATGGTTTATTAAAATTAAAGACCTTTTTGAAATGTACCTTCGGTTAAAAAATTAATGCCGATAATAAAAGCAAAACTTAAAGTAAAAGGGAAAAAAATGCGTCCGCATAACGACGGTGCTTTTGCTGTCAACGGATATTGTCTACGTGTCATCTGCTGCACTTTCGAACGCTGCTCCAGATGCCATCTATCAATACGAACGCCAAGCACAACCCGCTAGTGGACTTGGTCGTCTGGGTCGCTGCCCGCCGTAGACCCTGGCAAGTTTCTTGGCCTTATTTTTTGTACAAAGAGAACTACGCTTTTTAATTTTACAAGAAAAATGAAAGCTGTTTACAACTCCCTGTAATGTCGAATTAGAGCGCAGCTCTTGAGGAGGAGGAGGGAAGGGTACTGGGGGGGGGGGGGGGGGGGGGGGGACACGTGACCTTGGGGTGTCACGTGACGTCGGGGGGGGGGGGGGGGGGGGGGGGGGGTCACGCGACGATGCTGATGACGTCATCAGTGACCTTCACTATTACCTTCACGAGTTACCTTTGTTGCCCTCACGAGGGTCACGAGAGTTGCCCTCACAAGGGTCACGATGGTTATCCAGGTCACGTGGCCCCCCGGGGGTCACGTGACCTGCGGATACCTTCCCCCCCCCCCCCCCCCCCCCCCGGGGTCACGTGACCTGCGGATACCCCCCCCCCCCCCCCCCCCCCCCCCCCCCCCGAGGTTACGTGACCCTCCGTTGACATCATTGTTACTGATGACGGCATCAGTGACGTTACTGATGAGGTCACCGGCATCCGCATCGTCATCATCAGCGATGACGTCATCAGTGACGTC